AAATGTGTTATAAGAAATAATGCAGTGTTTGGAGACTTTCAGTTCAAGGGGTGCAAGTGCGATCACATTTAGAATGTCATGTAGAATACCAATAGATTTATACTATCCCTAAAATGCATTATGGCAGTCAACAAGGTTGGGACCAGGTACATTTGCATCTTATAGGTATTTGGCATGATACTAATGTTTCCTTAGATATAATTCAATTGCACCAGGAAATTTTCAATCTAAAAATAATGCTAAACCCTGGAAATTTGAAGCTGCAAATGTTGCTTCTGAATGGTTAGAGCAATTAAGAAAGAGCATGCCTTGCTGGCAGGAGCCTGATATAGCTGTCTCCTTAGAGGTCTGCCAGAGCCTGACATATACAGAGGCAGATGCTCACAGCTAACCATTGAGCTGATCATGGGGTTCCCAATGGAGGAGTTAGAGAGAAGACTGAAGGAGCTGAAAGGGTTTGCGGCCCCATGGGGAGAGGAACAATACCAACCAACTAGAGCTCCCAGTGTCTAAACCACCAGCCTGGGAGCACATAGGGAGGGACCCATGGCCTCAGCTGTATATATAGGGGAGGATGACATTGTCAGGCATAGGTGGGTGAGGAAGTCCTTGGTCCAGTGAATGCTGGATGCCCCAGTGTGGGGGAAAGTTTGGATGGAGAGGTGGGAGTTGGAGGGTGGGTGGTGGCATATCTTCATAGAAGCAGGAGGAGGGGGGATGGGATAAGGGGTTCCTGGATTAGGAGGAATTGGGGAAAGGAGATTACATCTGAAATGTAAATAAAATATCCAATAAAAAAAGGAGAAAGAGCACGCCTTCTTGGTCTTTGTTTACTCATTTGGTCATTTCAGTACTTGTTTTGGGTACTCTAATAAGGTCATGGCTGTTATCACTTGTGCTTAAGTGTGCCCTCTGTCCTTTTTGAACATCTGTGCAGTACTCCATCATATATAGCTCAAATGTGTAAACTAATGCGTTACATCCTCCATTGCAGATGATGGTAGTCAAAGATGAGTAACAATTTCTCAGAGGTGGATCAACCTAAGACAGGGCATGGATTCCCAGATTCATGCACCAATGACAGGTAAGGATGACACTTCTGGAGGGGATGCCTAAGCTAGATACAAGTGAAGGCAGAATGAACCAGAGAATAAGAATGAGTCGGAAGATTAAAACATGTTGCCAGAATTAGTTTGAGGTCAGGCAGAGCAATTCAGTCAGAAGCCAAGAGAAGTCAGTGTGAATCTGTCAGGTTGAAGAGGAGTTTAGACCAGAACAACTGAGTTGAATCAGCCAGTGAGAGTTCAGAAAGAGCTAGAAATGGCTATCATCTCATTTCCTCATTAGAGGAAATAAAAGCAACATTTATAGAGAAAACTATTAATAAATCTCCACCAATCTCCCTGAATGACCACTAACCCCCATCTATTGGGGACCTAACATTTATGTATCCTCTGAAAAATTCCAAGAATTCCAAATGTCACACAATTGTGGAATATATATGTAGCTGGCAAGATCATGCCCCTTCCAGGGCAGGAGGTAAATCATAATTGTTTATGATTTATGTTTATGTTGGGGTCTGACCCCAACATCCAGAATAGCTGTAGCCATTTCCATGCCTGGGAGCTATTTTATATTGCTGCTGTAACAAGCCTGTCAGTCATTGACACAGAAATGTAACTTGGCTCAAAGACATGCTGATCACATAACCTGTTTTGTTCTTTAAGTTCTCCCTCTTCTGTAGAAGGTTTGCCAATCTTAAGAAATTCCACAAAGCTTTACTTAGGACCTAAAAAATCAAAGGTCAATATGAATTATTGTGTCTGAAATGACTTGAGTCAGAGTTGCTCACAAGGCAGCCCTTCCTGGACCTATTTATAGGCTCACTGTGGTTTTGAAGTTCACACCAAAGAGTGGTACTAATAAGCCAGAAAGTTATGCTTATAATACTCATGCTCCATTATCTCAATGCTCTGTTCACCACCCATCCTCCACTCTGTTCACCTTACTCAGGACCAACCAGCTTAAAAGTCAGCTGATAATACTTTGTTTACTAAGCCTACTGCTCCCCCTTTGCCCTTTAAACTTTTCAACCTATATATCTATATCTGTATCTGTATCTAACCTATATTTATATCTAATCTTTATCTTCTATCTATATTCTACTCTGAGAGTGGACAACAGCTTCACTTAGGCTTCCTAGTCATTTTATGGTCCTGAACATTCACTATTAGGTGTGCATTCAATAAACTACTCTTGCTTAACTGAGATCAGTGTTTGCTTCATTTGAGTGGCAATTACTGAACTCCAACAATGGTCAGCTGCTGCACAGCTGCTTGATATACTCACACCTGTGTTTAAAACAAAACTATAATGGCCTGTCTCATCAGATTGTTCTCCTGCTTTTTCAGCTTTTTTTTTTTCCTTACACATATACCCTCTGGCACAGTCTCTTCCTTCTTTCTTCCTTCAGAAAATTCCCATTGTCTGGCTCACAGGACAAGCCTGACCCTTTTTGTTTTCCCTTGTCGATGCTCCTTGCTCCTCTATGCTTCCACCTCCTCATACAGGTTTTCTAATTGCACAGCCAGCTTTACAATCCTTTCAGAAACAAGGGAGTAGACTGACCCCTTTTATTTTCCCCTCCTTTATTTTTGTTTTTAATGCTACTCCATTTCCAGCCACATTTTTTCCAACTCCTCAGACATTTTTTAAAACTTTTTTTGAAACAATAAAATGAAGAGGGGAAAGAAAAAAATCAGAAAAAGCCGCTGGGAGTAAAGTGGGGATATCCCAGAAGTACCAGCTGTAGTAAATGCTTTGCTGACCTCTTAAAACAAAATATCTGTATTTCCCTGCCCCTGAGATTTCTTTTATGGAGTTTAAATCCAATTTCCCATTTTTTGTTCTTAAATTTTGATCCCCAGGCTGAGGCACCACTTGTTGCCCGTCATCACAACGTTTTGGGTTCTATTTTTTCCCACTCTTTATCTCTGCTCCCCATCATTTCACCCCTATAACTAGATAGTAGAAAAAGAAAGATAGATTGAAACAAGAGAAAGATAGAGATCCTTGAATTTAATTTCTTTCTTGTTTCTTTTTGAGCGTGACTACTAATAAACTGGAACCCCTCCCCCACCCCATAACCACCAACCACCAACCCAGCCTATGGCGGCTCTAGATTTTATATACTCTCTTAAAAGTTCCCAGAATTCCAAACATGACACAATTGTAGAACCTGTCTGCAACAGGAATAATCACACCATTACCAGAGCATGAGGTTAATCAGTTAGCTGCTATGGAAAGCATGAAGCAACCACATATTCCCACATTTGGGCTTAAAATGAAAATATACTATTATATTTCTGTGCTTTTTTCAAGAAACCAAAATTTCAAAATTCTCCCTACAAATTTTCTTGCAGAGTGTAGACCAGACATGGGTAAAGAGTGTACATGATGGAAAGATCAATGTGGGACATTACTGTCTATTAAGGTAAAGAGAGTATTCTTGCCTGGTTTTAGATTAACTGGCATTGGGTGTTAGCAGTCAAGTAGGATGAGCAGAATGTCTATGCAGAAGGCAGAAATGGTGTGAGTTTCAGAGAATGGCTAGGTAAGGATGCTGTCTGCCTGGTGGGATATCACCACTGGTGGTGTGGCCACTCAATACTGTCCAGGGTGATGAGGGCTTCTGCTCATCAAGATGATCTTGGTCAAGTGCTAAAACCACAGGGTGGCTGAATGGAGTCTCTCTAGAGTTCAGCACCAGGAGTCAGAGCACAAGTTGTGTGAAGGAGGCTTTCCCCAACTAGGGTGTCAGAACTTCAGCAAGGTATCTGGTCTTGTGTGGGAACATCCAGCCTAAGGGAGGAAAGTATTACTTTAGGTGACATAGACTTGACCTGAGGTTTGGAGTCCATCCAGAAGGCACAAACATCTTAGTGAAGAGTGATCAATGTGGGCAGGAGATGGGTGGCATCCAAGAGATTATTACTTGGGAATTTGAGATAGAGATAATTAGAATAGATTTGTTTTTCCTCATAGATGTGGTTAGAAATGCTAAATTTGGGAAATAAAATGAAACCTGTGGCTTTATATTAAAATCAGGGTAATAGTGTGAACCCTTAGTTTTCAGTATGTTTGGATATAAAAGCAAGAGAAAGCCAATAAACAAACTCTGTGTGTTTGTGTTACTTATATATGTACATGCTGCTTGCTTATTATGTTTGGGAGCATCGGGGTAGCTAGAGGAGATTCAAAGAAGGGAACTATTTGGAAGAACCGAAGCTTGAGCATGTGGCTATGAGCTGGAAAATATCTGTGGGACTCAAACCATCCCATCCTCAGCAACTAATGGAAGTGTCTCCTTTTGTACTCTGTGATCCATTTAATTCTCCCAAGGATTCTCAACAGAGCATTGCTCACTTAGAGATTGTGCTGAGGAGTGCATGGATTAAGGGAAGAGAGGCACAAGGGAGGACAGTGTCCTCCCACAGCTACTAACAAGAGCTGTTTCAGGAGCTCTGAATGTGGCCAGTAGTAAAGTGAGTGGGAAGTCCCCACACAGCTAGTCATGAACCTGTGGTCGGAGGCAGAGTGCTCCAAGAAGCAGCTTCGGAAGAAACAGGATGTGAGCTTTGCCTTCCCCACACTGTAGGCAGCTGAGAGAAAAGTGGGAGCCCACACAATAGAGAGGGCCCATGGTCCTCTAGAGTGTGGTATCACAATTTGCCTGTTCAGTCAAAATCAATGTTGTGCCTTAAGTGTTTGCTCATGTTGTCTGGTTTGCCTGAAACCACATTGGCGTATAGAAGTGCACAAATTTATGTTTGCTGCAGAGTGTCTTAGGACAGAGTTCTCTAGTAGCATGGTTCCTCTTTTCTACTCCTTCCTATTTCTTTCCTTCCCCCTTTGAGTTCCCATTTTGTAGTACTTGCATATTGCACTGTGTGGATTTGAGGACTACAATTCTTTTTTTTTTCTTGTATTAAGAGGTTGCATCTCCCTTGTGTGGCCTGAGTGACTCTATGCCGTGCTTTCTCATTCTCATGTGGTTTATCCTAGTGAGACATGCCTCTTCTTTCTTACAGTTGTGCAATATGACAACTTATCGCAGTTATTGATTCTTATATACCACAGTGCCTTAGGGAGGGTAGAAGGTGCTCTTTTTGACAGAGGAAGGTCTTTTCTTGATATGGCTTCAGAAATCACTTATGCAGAAGTGAAGTTCAAGAATGAATCCAACTCCTCGGGTACCTACTCAGAATCTCCTGCAGGTAAAAACAAAACAATAAATCCTTTCTGTATTTAATGTAGATGGGAGGATTAAGGAATGGTCATTTGCAAAGTTGGGTTGTATTTGTGACCGATTCTTCGAGTTCTCTCATCTGGTATTTTATAGGAGTCTCAGATGTTTAAACCATAGACTGACTTGAAGAGCCATAGAGTTCTATAGGGAAGAAAAAGCTTTCTTGGCATGGCTTTTGCTCTTGTCATTTACAGAAACTAAACCTTGAATCTTGCTGCATTTCCTGCTCTATATAAATAAACATAAGTGCAAATATTTTTCTGAAAATTAAATCATATTGTTTAATAGTGAGTTTTCTTTCCCCTCTATGCTTGACAGTATTTTGTAATTTCATGAAAACTGTTTTAGTGTTTGGAGACTTGATCCTTAAGGAACTTGTTTTCATTTATCCTGTAGATCAGAGCAAAACCTCTCACTTGCTAGGCAGTTGTTCTGCCATCAAACTGCACCTTCATCCAGCAAAGTTTCCAGCCATTTGATGGTGGCTATCAGACTGATGTCATGCTAAAGCATGGACTATGATTATAAGTATTTATCTTTTGTTGTATATTTGTCTTTAATATTTGGACAGTCTGGAAGTTATTTAAATATGCAGTACTACAATCACAGTAAAAAACACCATGATAATGTGGTCACATGGAAATATATTTACAGTACTGATGTAAAGAAAATTTGTAGGCCACGTGGCAGTATTTATGTTGTGTTATAATGTGGAAAAAATATTATATATACATACTTTAACACCTGTTGAAAGGGCCACATGTGGTCTAATTCCAGCACTTGGGACGCAGAGACAGGAGGATCACCGAGGATTTAGGCCTTTCTGGTCTATATAATATGTTGCAGAGAATCCCCAGGACTACACAGTGAGATCCTAGCTCATTCCAATTCCCTTCAGGCACACAAAAAAATCTCCATGAATGGATATGAACCAAGTATTTAAATATATACATTTAAAGTAGTTTTCAGATCTCAAAATATTAGCACGAGGTATTTAAACAGAATAAGTTTGTGCTTTTTTTATTATTTTAAATGTTCTTGCTATTAGTAATTATATGTCATGGAGAAAAGTGAAGAAGATGAGGGTGGAAAAGAAGAACTTACTTCTCATGAAATGAATGTGCTTTTCCTTCTAGCTCCCAGAGAGAAACACATCCATCGTTTAAGTAAGCCTGGTTCCCCCTCGCTTCCTTTTATATCCCTGATGGTACTTCTCCTGGTGTTGGCAATAACATTCTTAGTTGCTTTTATCAGTAAGTATTCCAGATGAATCAATAGGCCATCTCTGCCTTAGATGAAGCTAGGTTCCACTGTAGCAGTTGGCATTTAATGGAAATATGAAGAAGTAATGTTCTTTGAGGAAAAATAATTCAAAGGATTCCATTGTGACTTTCCCTTTGTCCTTGAATTTAATTATTGTCTTGTGGCAAAATGGAATCTATTCTCAGTAGGGAAACTGACTGGCATGTATGAGTATTTGTGTGGGGTTGTGGAGTGAACTCTGTGGACTGTTGTCTTTATTAGACTGGAAAGCCAAATCTACATTTTCTCATTGGCATCAAGATATCAAGCTTTATGTGTATAGGGCTCCTTCATTTGGTGTGAGCTTGTGGACAAGAAGGAGTTAGTAAGAAATTATTGAAGAAAAGTTCTTCAGCTAATTCCTACCTACTTCTATCCTGGCTAGTATTATGAGAAATCTAAAAGCAACCTGAGCAAATGGGTGACTTTTTGTTCAACAAAGATTTGAGAACGTATGAACAATTTAAAAATACATGATATATTTAGGATGTTTTGTTCATTCATTTGATCATTCAGAATAAAGTAATAGTAGTAATACAGTAAAAGCATACACTAATGTATGTCAGACGATGTGTTAGTCAGACCAAGTCAGACCAAGACGAAGAACACAGACTCTTTTCTAAAGAAATTTAGAGAGAAGTCAATCAATCATTGTGAGCTAAATACAATGGTACACCTTCATTAATCCAGCTACTTATGGTCTTAGATAGTAGGACAGAGAGTAAGCGTGAAGTTAGTCTGGGCCATGTAAAAAGACTACATCATATAAAAATGAACTAGTGTCTACTACGCAGTCCAGGAAGTGTTGTGCTGAGATAGCTTTCTTAGAAGAGGGGACACCTAGATCTGTGGGTTCGAAGAATGTCACAGAGGGATGAAGCTGAGGCATGAGTGGCTGAAGCGCACAGTGCTAAGTGAAGAAGAAATGACATTTCCCTAGGTAGATACAAGCAGGATGCAGAACATGTGCTGTGCTCGATTATGAGAAACATTTCTTCCTCCTAATGAGTGATTTTATATCAAGTATTGTTTTCTATGTAAGAAATCAGTATAAACGTAATGAGCTAATGTAATGAGCTAATAACATGTTCTTATTTGTCTTATGCTTCCATGGTTTGGAAATTTTGGCTGATCTTCACTGAGCAGCTCCTTTGGCCCTA